CAGACACAAAAAAGTAGGACATCCTGGTTATTGGATTGGCAGAATTAATATAATCAAAATGGCAATCCTACCCAAATTAATCTACATATTTAATGCAACCCCTATAAAATGACAAGAAACATTCTTCACAGCTCTAGAAAAGGCAATCATAGAATTTATCTGGAACCATAAAAGATTCCATATTGCCAAAGCCATCCTGCGCAATAAGATTGGAGTGGGTGGCATCTCGCTCCCTGACTAAAAATATATTATAAAGCTGTGATAATCAAAACAGTGTGACATTGGCACAAAAACAAACATGAGGACCAATAGAACAGAGTAGAGACCCCAGCAATAAACCTGAAAACATATAGCCAACTCATCTTTGACAAATGGTACCAGTCAATCCAGTGAGAAAAGGAAAACCTATTTAGCAAATGGTGCTGGAAAAACTGGGTATCCATGTGCAGAAAGATGAATCTGAACCCCTATCTGTCACCATTAACAAAAATCAACTCAAAGTGGATCAAAGATCTAAACCTAAGACTGCAAACTATAAAATTACTGGTGGAAAACACTGGGGTACACTGGGATAGGCAAAGACTTCTTAAGCAAGACCCCCAAAGCACAGGCAATAATCTCGAAAATAAACAGGTGGGATTACATCAGATTAAGAAGTTTTTGAACAGCAAAGGACACTGTAATTAGTGTGAATCGACAACTCTAGAATGGGAGATAATTTTTGTTAACTGTGCCTCAGGTAAGGGACTGATAACCAGAATACACAGGAAACTCAGTTTACCCAGAAGAAAATGATTAACCCAATCAAATGATGTGAAAATGAGCTGAACAACTCTCTATGGAAGACATACAGCCAAAAAGCATACGAAAAAAATGCTCAACATCTCTCATCATAAGGGAGGTGCAGATCAAAACCACAATGAGATACCACCTAGCCCCAGTCGGAATGGTGAAGATGAAAAAAACAAAAAATGATAAGTGCAGAAGGGGATGTGGTGAAAGGGAAACACTCCTACTTTGTTGGTGGGAATGTAAATTGGTACAGCCATTGTGGAAAACAATTTGGAGGTTCCTCAAAGACCTTCAAATAGAACTACCATATGATCCAGTAATTCTACTCGTGAATATCTACTGAAAGGACAGGAGAATGCTCAGTTTAAAAAATTGCTTGCACAACTATATTTATTGCAGCATAATTCACAGTTGCTAAGACATGGAACCAACCCGAATGTCCACAAGCAGATGAATGGATTGAAAGTGTGGCACATATACTCCATGAAATACTATTCAGCCATAAAAAACAGGGCCCTGGAATTTGATAGAAAGTGGATGAATGTGGATGATTTGTTGCTGAGTGAAGCAAGTCAGGCTATGAAAGAGAGACATTATATGTCTCTACTTAACATATATACTGACTGTCCACACTATATGGTAGAGACTGCAAGTCTGGAGTACATAAAAACATTAAAAATTGTTATGGACACTAGAGGCAAAGTGGAAAAAGAGTGTCAGAGGGCAAGAGCATAGGAAAGGAAATTTAGAAAAAAAATAGAGAGATAAGACATTTGTGGAACACAGATATGACTTATCTGTTGATGAGGATGTAGAGTATTCTCAACTGGGCTGGACTAAGGTGTATATCATGCTGTGTAAAGTCTCTTTAAAATCTAAATGATGTATAGCAATTGAATGTATAAATAATAATAATAATAAAGAAAAAAGAATACTGCTCAAATTTGCTTTTTTGTTTAGCACCATTTCCATAATTTTATAAAAAAAATTCTCAGCTGGGCTGAACTGAGCTGTATATCATGCTGGGTAAAGTCTCTTTAAAATCTAAATGATGTATAGCAATTGAATGCATGAATAATAATAAAAGAAAAGAGAATACTGCTCAAATTTGCTTTTTTGTTTAATACCATTTCCATAATATATAAAATAAATATCAAGTAATAAGTCGTTAGCAAAAAAACAGGAAAGCAAGAAATGCAGATTAAAACAATGTATAACATAACTACATTTATTTAAAAATGTATACAATGTCAAAAGGTAAATTTCAAAAATGCAAAACTGCAGTTACTTTTGCACCAACCTAATACAATCCTTCCAGGTTGCTTACTTTCAGAATTAGCAAAAATTGATGCAAAGCACCCAGCCCAGCAGCTGGTACATGGTTAAGTACTCAAAAATTGTTATTCTTTAGTATAACCTTTTGAATAACATCAAAACTTATTTTTGGGAACCAGCAGTTAGCGTAATGGCTATGTCGCTGGACTCCCACGTAGTCGACCACGGTTCGTGTCCCGGACCCGGTGGCTTAAAACTCACGCCGGGCGCGTGTGCGTGCGTGCCCAAGATCCCGAGAGGAGAATGGAGGAGAAGGGATTGCGGCGTGACCATCCCCCCTGGGGGGTGATTTCTCGCTTTCTGTCTCTATGTCTCTGTCTGTCTGGTGAGCGCACGCGCCCTACAGTGAAAATCTCTCCAAAAAAAAAACTTATTTTTAAGATTTAATTTCACTTATTATTTTTAAATTTGCTATCGGGCACATATGTTCACCAGAGAGGGCCAGAGAAGGGGAAAGTGAAAAACCAAGTTGCCAGGTCTAGGACTCTAACCACACTCAACCATGTGGGAGTTCAGTGCCCTAACCACTCCACCAAAACTTTTTAAAACCACATAGATGTGTCTATTAAGAAAATGTACTAGCATTGCGTTTCAATGGAAAGGAAAAAGCCTCACAAAATTTAAGAAAACAATTCCATCAAAATATGTCAAATACATGAAGTGTTACTGCAGGGAAATAAACACATGTGCAGGTGAGAGAGCTTGGTCTTTTAGTCAAGGATGAGTTATTGTACTATTACTAAATTACATTTTTGTTATTACAATAGGATCTTATTTAGGTTTTATTCTTTCACAATTCTGACCTGAGTCAGAGTGAAATGTAACTTTGTACCAACCAAAGGAAAAAGACTTTTTAAGCAAACAAATGACACAAGAATGCCAGGAACTTAACTTTTCAAGAGAGAAGAAAAAAAATATTAGAATTGTATTAAGTCTACATTTATAAATTATATGGAAAAAAAGACTTTTTAGGCAAACAAGTGACAGACTGCCAGGGCTTACCTTCTTAAGGTTTGCAAAATATAACTAAAATAGTCTAACAGTGCTGATGAGGCTGGTGATATGATATGCTATACAGAAATAATTCTTACACAAAGACAGATCCTAATTGAATAATAGAGTAAGCTTAGTTAATTTAGTTAATATTACATGAATGACAGGATTTTATTTCTTAAAAATAAAGCAGATTCTATTTCCCTGTTACTCTAAATTAGTTTTTTGAAAGGCATTTGAGAGAAAATAAAAATCCGACTCAGGATCTTTTTTTAAGAAGTTTATTTTATTCTTCTTCTGAGAGAGACAGAGAAACAGGTACCCCCAAAAGGGTCTTCACACCACAATCCAGCTCAGTCTCAGCCAGCCCAGGTCATGGGTATACACGTGTACCCAACATGAGCAGTGAGGTTCCAGGATGCAAACCTGGAACCCTCCCATGTGGGTCCAGTTACTTTATTGCTATGTCACTGGTTGGCCCTTGAATTCAGGACTTTTTCAAATAAAGAATAAGTCCTTCAGAAAACTGACACTGTTGTTCTTATTAAATACCTTACTATGCTGTTTTTTTATGAAGGATTAGACTGAAAATGGCCAAACCCAGTCCAATTTACAGACTTTAGGCCTGAAAGGGCACAAGAGATCATCTGTTTCCCATGCACCAAAGAGGAAACAGGCTCGGAGTGATTTGTCAGAAGATGCAGATTAGTACTGAGACAAAACCGGTGACTCTCAAAACCTAAGAACCCTCATTACAGCAAGCAGCTAGCAATATCTGAATCAATCTTAACACCACTTTCCTTAAGGGAAAGTGTACAGAGCTCCATTGTGACAACCCTTATGGTGCATCTGGGCTTATAGTCTGACCTGTAACTATAGCTCAGTAAAATTCGATTGTGAAGGAATGGTCTACATGTCTACATTATAGTTAAAGAACTAGAGGCTTCCTCCTTATGTGTTTTTTCTTCCTGCCCGAAAGTTTGGTATTTTTAACTACAGAAGCAGCAGAGTAACTATTAGGAAGCAGAAATTAGAAAACTGTCTTAGTAATTAGCAGATGGTATAACAGCCATGTCACTGGACTCCCACATGGCCCACCCTGGTTAGAGTCCTGGACCCAGAGGCTTGAAACTCACACCAGGTTCATGTGCGCATGTGTCCAAGATCCTGGGAGGAGAATGGAGAAGGAATTGTGGTTATGGTCATCACCCCTGGGGGGTGATTTCTCACTTTCCCTCTCACCTCCCCCCCTCCTCCCTGAAAGTGCATACCCTAAGGCAAAAACCTCTAAAAAATAAGAGAACTGTCTTTCCATGATTAAAATTAAACACATACCCATTGGTCTCTGGAGTAAAGGATGTTAAAATAATAAATCCTGACCCCATCTTGGATTCACTACCTAGGCAAATACTTTATTTATTTAACTTTTTAGTTTTGCTATATGGAGCACGTGTGTGCTAGAGAGAAAGAAAGTGTGAGAAACCGCCTCCCGACCACCATCATTCTGCAATCCCCTCTTCTCCATTCTCCTCTTGGGATTTTGGACACACAGGAACACCATGTTTTTCAAGTCTAGGATCCAAACTCTGGAGTCAGCCAGTGAGATCCTACTGCCCTTCTGGCAAGTAGAGTTTTCAGTGCACAAATCCAGTGAACGGGTCTGATTTTTCTGGCTACTACAAGCACAGGTTCATAGGCTATGAAATCATCATATTTTCAAACAAGAATGAGTAAGAAAACAACTACTAGTAATACAACATCCAAGCATTAACATATGCCCAACAAACAGTATTTTACATCATCAGATTATCTGCCAAAAACCTGTTTCCTGGCAAATAATAGTCACTGTTGTTATACTTAAACTAGTTATACATGTTGCTGCTTGCTCCTCAGAGAACATTCTATAGTCTTTCAAGAATAAAAACCTGCTTTGTTTGGCATACAACAGCAAATAGGTCTTGCAACATTTGCCAGAGGTAGTCAAACAGTTCAGTGCAAGCAATCACAAAATTTGGTCACCAACCAAACCAGAGCTAATCTTTCAGTTCCTGTAGATTAGAAGACAATATTAACTCACTCTTTCTGCTTGTTGACTTTTGCATCCCTTTATTTGTGTATTCAATGAACAAGTATCTCTGTGGGAACTCTAGGCCTTGTCAGTTTAATGACTTATCAGGTTTACTTTGGGCAAGTATCGATTATTCTTTTGTGAAATGAGTTAGATTCTTAAATGAAAAACAAACAACAAAAACTTTTCACACGGCATGGCTGCATTTCCCCTTTCTAACAAGGTTCGGTGGGTCCATCACGGCTCAGCTGCTTGTTACTGAGGATTTAACGTGATCCAAACAGAGGAAGAGATGAGACGAGGTCTCCAGAATCCTTCTCCAGGATCTCTGTGCGACCCTTTCCTTGACTGTGACCCGTTTGTGGGGACTAACTCCTTTCTCGCCGCTGCTCTTTGGGCTGAGTTTCTCGAGTCCAAAGACCTCACCCACCCGGGACCCTCCACCAAATCCTCGGCTTCGTCAGTGGAGGGGAGCAGTGTCCCCAGTGACCTCGGGGACAAAGGCAGAAAAGCCTAGCCGGCTCAGAGCGCTCCTCAATGCCTGAAGCCGCCCCAGGCCTCCCCGCCCAGGCCTTCGTCCCCAGTAGGAGGTGCCTGCCTCGGGGATCCCGGCGCCGTGCTGCCTGGCCCGCGTGGCCTCACCTGCCGCTCCCCGGAAGTCTCTGCCCTTACCCCCCGCGTCCTCGAAATCGAGGTCCCGAGACCTACAGGGCAGTCGCGCAGCCGGAAACTGGCCCCTGGACTTCCTCACTCCCGACGCGCGGCGGGGCCGACCGGTGGGCGGGACGCGAAGGCCGCGGCTTCCGCCTTCCTGCTTCCGGTCTGGAGGTGAGTTGGGAATGGGATCCTGAGGCCGATCCCCTGGCGCGATGTCGGGGAGCCTGGTGGCGGCCAGTGCGGAGGTTTAGTCCGGTGTCCAGCGGAGGCGGCCGCAGTGCGGGCGGAGCAAGGTGCGGCGGAGCCGACCCGGGGAACCGGGGGACCTGGGCTCTGCGTGCCCGCCCGGCCCGCGGCGGGGCGAGCAGCCCGCCCTTGCCGAGGCCCAGGGGCAGAGGTGAACTGTTGCCCCCCCGTTTGCCGATGGCCTGGTTAGGGTAAGGAAAAGGAGCCAGGGGGATATAGAAGGAAGGAGGGAAAGACAAAGGAAGTGTGGATTGCCGTGAAGTGCCAGCAGCTGCGCGGTCAGGCGCCACAAGGGTCTGGTCTGGATCTAGCCTGGTCGACCGCATTTGGGTGGAGGAAGGTGTTTTCACCTGGAATTGTGGGAGGCGGGATCGTTTGGGTTCAAATTCAGGTGCCGCGAGATGAGTGGCCTGTAGATGTGTACTCCTTTGTTGTGTTAACTGCCAAAACTTTGCCATGCACCAGGCCCTTAACTCCTACTTTACTCTTATTTTGCGAAGTTCTTTTGCCTATCTTTGAAACATGAGTTGACTTGTTACTGGGCTGGAAGAGCTGAGGAGCGAGCGAGTTCGGTAGAATGCAGTTCTGGCAGTGGGCGAAGGGGCATGAAGTTGACGTCTTAGGCAGTTTCATGTGTTGAGAAATTATTTTAGTTGAAAATGCTAAAAATATAGTGTTTTTTTTTAGAGGTTTTTGTTAATAGGGCGCGTGCACTCGCCAGACAGAAAGAGACAGAGAGAGAGAAAGCGAGAAATCACCCCCCCAGGGAGGATGGCCATGCCGCAATGCCTTCTCCATTCTCCTTTGGGGATCTTGGGCACTGCAAGCACACGCGCCCATCGTGTTTAAGCCTGCAGGTCTGGGGCTCAACCGCGGTAAACTGCATGGGAGTCCAGCGACAAAGCCATCACGCTAATTGCTGGTTCCATCAGTGATAGTTTTTTTGAGGTGATGGGATTGTGGATAATTTATACTTTGTTTCGGTTAGCTCTTTTGAAATGTGTAATGTACCAAGAACTCTTGAAGGATAAGGTGAGATTGGTGGCACAAATGGTGTGGTACCTCTGGGTGACCTGGACACACATGGAGGCCGATGTTGGGATCCCAGGTCCACCTGAACTCCAGGCACCTATGATCCTGGTTGGCTGGGAGGCTAAGGTAGATGGATCTGTTTGGGCAGACCCTGTTAAGGGTATCTCTCTTGAAAAAGAAACTTTTTTAAAAAAGATTTATTTAATTATTATTATCCAGTTATTACTTTTAAAATTTTGCTATAGGGCACATGTGCTCACCAGAGAGAGAGAGAGAGAGATAGAAAGGGGGAAAGTGAAAAAGCAAGCTGCCAGGTTTGGGACTTGTACTGCTGTCGGCTATGTTGGAGTCTAGTGCCTTAACCACCATGCCACTCCCAAAATATAAGGAAGGTGTTTGATTTTGTAATGCTATACCTAATCCAGTGAATGAATAATGACAGTATTTTTAATTAAATGTTCTAGATCTAGGAATGGATATAATGTGTAACATCAGTGAACCAATTCATCTTTTTATGTGTCATTGAACTTCATAACAGTTATTGAAATAAGTAATTTAGTAAAATATTTGATCTCTAGTAATTATAGTTTTCTTAAAGAACATTACAGTTATGGTAAGCTGAAACTAGGAAGAAATAGACATTACATGCTATAATGGACAGGTAGTTTTATATGTTATTTATCACTTTTGTATATAGAATTTATAATTTTTCTATTTAAAATTTTATTAAAGTTATCCTGAAATTTATGATTTCTTTCTTTTATTTATTCTTTTCAACTCAGCCACTATATAGAATTTAAACCTTTCAGAAGTGTATGGTGGATCTAAGAAGACGACAATCAAAGGTCATAGGAAGTTGTAATTGGCTCAGCAATAATCCCAGAACAGTTAGAGATCATCACTCAACCTAAGGTAGATGATTTTTAATCCCGGCTGAATTAAAAGTGGCTGGGAAAAGCCTCTGGGGTATAATATAGAATGTTGCTCAAGTCCACACTATCCTCATTTGTCAGATGACACCCCCACTCCAAATAACTCAAAAAGGAACAAATGCATGGTACCTGCTGTGACTATTATTTTTTTTCTTTAGAGAGGTTTTTGTTATGCTAACCAGAGAGATAGAAAGAAATCACCCCCGCCCCCCAGGTGGGCTGGCCACAGTCCCTTCTCCATTCCCTTTTCACAATTTTGGACACATATGCATGTGCCTCTGACATGAGTATCAAGCTGCCAGGTCTGGGACTCGAACCATAGCCATGTGGGAGTCCAGCAACATAACCATTACGCCATTTGCTGGTCCCATGGTTACTTTTCTAATTTATTCAATTATAGTTTTTCCAACAGGTGGTCAAAGATAAACAAGTATAAGATAGACATCACTTTTTGCTTATGCCTCTTGGCATATGAATGTGTGTATCATCATGGCTCCCTTACTTTCTTTTCCATTCCTGGAAATAGCCACCCATTACCTCCATTTCTCTGAGAACATTTCATATGTTCTGTGGCTTGTCTTTTTCAAACACTAAATTTGCCAGTTTGTATTTTTGTTAAGTTAGTAGTACTAAGTCATAAAATAACAAACAGGATTCATTTGTTTCCTGGAATGGACTGAGTACGAAATATCAAGATTCTTATATATAAAAAAAAGTCTGCTGCTAAATAAAGTTTGTTTTGAAACAGGAAGTATGTGAGAAAGCATTGTCCTTATCACAGTCACATGGCTTTTACTTTTATCTACTCTAACTTTACATCTCTTAAATATCACTATTCTGGTTGTCCTGGTTGAATTATTTTTTCCTAACTGGAGATATTAGTCCTTATGAAAATAGTACTAGTTAATATATTTACTAAAAATAAAACTAATGAGTAATAATGGAATTCTGAGTTAATTGTGTGATACAACTTTTTCAAAATTTGATCAACTACATGGGCTTTCTCCTCCTTTTCCCCTTCTCCAGTTTTCCTAACCGCTATAAGGATGTTTGACATAAAGGCTTGGGCTGAATATGTCGTGGAATGGGCTGCAAAGGACCCGTACGGCTTCCTTACAACAGTTATTCTGGCTCTTACTCCACTGTTTCTAGCAAGTGCTGTACTGTCCTGGAAATTGGCCAAGATGATTGAGGCCAGGGAGAAGGAGCAAAAGAAGAAACAAAAACGTCAAGAAAATATTGCAAAAGCTAAACGACTGAAAAAGGATTGAAGGACTGAACAGGTTCTGCAACCAGCGGCAAATCATTTGGGAAATTATACTGCTTTGGAAGGATCCATTATAGGTTTTTTTCTTTGGATTTCATGACAGTATTATTTAGTAAATGAAATCTGATTGATCATAAGGAAAATCATGTTCTGACCTCAATACTGTCTCTAGTAACTTTCAAGCTTGGGTGTAGTTTGTTGGCAGTACTGTAAATTAGCATTTACTGTGGCACAATGTCTTTATGCTGCCTGGGTCATTGCCATTTAGCAGCATGCATACTGAAATGAAAATATCCTATGGAGAAAAAGACAAGATGATGAACTCCATTCAAATAATGGTTTAAAATGGGATCCTGTTCTGGACAAAGGATATTAAGAATGTAAAAGTCTGAATTGTCATCTCCAAGGGGAAAAGTATGCTTTGGCTTAAAAGAGATACAGTACATTAATCACATCTTTGGTCATTATTGCTTATTTCTTGAAATAGAATCATTTCTGCCTTTCTTAAAGTAAAATAATATTAATCAAAAATAATATTTTCTGCGTTTTTCTGATTCTAGCCTTTGAGACAACTGGTAATTAGCAAGACATTCTACATTGTTTAAACCTAATTTTATAAAGAATTCCCTTGCCTATGTACAATACCACCTACTAGAGATAATAGTTTTTGTACTTAGGAACACTGCCACTTTCTTAGAGATGACTTGTTGAGAAGAGTAACACTATGATTTAAAGCTTGCAGTAAAAATGCCAAATGCTGTAAGTATGTTGGAACCAGTTTATTCTTGTGCTTAGTAGAACTGTGAAATAGTTAAGATGTCTTAATCAGGTCATGTGCTGATATAAAGGCACCTCTTTTGTGTTTCATTCTTTTATCTCACGTGGTAGTGATTGATGTCTTACACTTTTCATCAAGTATGTTTAATGTGAAAATTAAAATTTCAGGTATCTCTTAAAGGACTCCTAGTTACACTTTGCAGAGGTAAGGGAAGACTTAAATTTGGAAAAATTTTGTTGACCATAGTGATGATTATGACAAAATGAATATTTGTTGTACTTAAAGGTAAAGAGCTTTGAGTTGTGAAAGTGGAACTTTTTACTATTAAACATGGCTTTTATATATGCATGGTCCAGTAATTTTATTCACTGTCAGTATTTAATATCTTATTAACATTTTCTACACCTCTCATAATGTATTTTAAGTTACAAAAAATTGACCGGCAATTCTAATTTAAACATGAAACTAGATACTGAAATAAATTTCATACTTTCTTATAAAGAGGTCCTGGTTTTTCTGTTTTCTTTCTTTTTGTTTTTTAGTTGGGGTAGTAATTTGAATTAGATGTGTTGTACAGTTAAGACTTTTCAAAGAGTTACAGACTTCGGTTATAGCTAAGCATACTTGGAAAAGTTTAGGACACTGTTTCTCAAATTTGAGGACCTAAGGACCCCTGAGACCGTTTCGGGGCCAGTTTGAATAACACTTAGTGCTATTATTTTAGGTTATAATTCCCTGCTTGGTGCCATTGTAAGCAACACAATACAACCCTATGCGATAATATAATTCATGTTTAGTTATGAGTTGGTTATTCAGGGGGTCTAGGATATGTTTTATATGATCAGCAAAATTAAAATTTTTTAAATTAAAAAATTTTAACAATGCTTATATAAAACAACTGGCTCCTATGTATCTGCAGAGCCCCGTTTTAAGAAGAACTAGGGGGGCCAGCACGTGGCTTGGTGGTTAAGGATGCTGGACTCCCACATCACTGACTGCAGTTCGAGTCCCGGACCAAGCAGCTTGTTTTCTCACTTTCCTCCTTTCTCTCTCACACGCTCACTCTCTCACTCTGTCCCTCTCTGGTCACAATAAAAAATAAATAAATAAATAAGGTTAAGTAAAATAATTTTAAAAAACTAGGATAAGATATATCTAAAATATGTTTGATTTTCTATAATCAAGCTGTTGATGTAAAGAATTTATAGATATAGTACCAGTAGATGGTGTAATGGTTATGTTGCTGGACTCTCACACAGTCGACTGGTTTGCATCCCAGACTCAGCAGCCTAAAACTCACACCTGGTGCCTGTACATGCTCAAAGTCCCTAGAGAAGAATGGAGAAGGGATTGCAACAGGGCATTCCCCCCAGGGGTGATGTATTGTTTTCTCTCTCTCTGGTTAGCACATGCGCCCTAAAGCAAAAATCGCTCTCTAAAAAAAATTGATATATGTATATTTTGCTTATGGCCATGCTTTAGAGTAAAGGGATCAAGGCAAAGATATAGTCATAATTCTCAGTTATCTAGTAAAATGGGTTTCACTGGTTTTGTTGTGGCAGTTTAAAGATATTTAGCTAAAAGTATGTTGTATCATTTCTGTTAGTCTTAGCACATGCTAGTTTAATGTTTGCGATATGCTGTTATTCAGCTTTCCCCAACATTTATAGAATCTTTTTATACATGTGAGATAGATCAACAAGGTTTCACAGTATTGGGTTTGTGTGTGTGTGGCAGGGGAGAGATTATAAAATAGAGAATATTGTGAGGTTTGAGATTCCTCAGAAAAATTTATCTTCTCTCGGTATAATGAAAAAACGTTGAAAGAGTCCAATTTCCTATTATCCAGAATAATTTTGTTAAAAATTGCCTACCTATTAAATTATGTTCCTGGAAATTCTGAGAACCAAATACAATCAATTACCTTATCATGGCTGGCTTTATGGAGAAAAATAATAAATAGTCCCTAAGCTGACTGTAACAAGCATTTTATGAAATATAAATAAAAAAACAAGGATTGTGTGTCAGAATTTGAGCTATCGTGTCCATGTGACAAACTTTTAGTACAGTACTACTGTATCACCAGTTTGAGGATTTTTTGATTATTATTTCTTTATAATAGGTAAATTGAAAATAAGCTTAGGAAACTCCTGTGTTGAAATCATTAACAGCACCTAACCCACGTCTCCATTGTACATGAAGTAAAGTGCCCTTTTTTCCTGGTTCTAAGAGGAAATCTGATCCTGTTTAAGAACGACTGCTGTTATGTTTGCATAAGAGCATAATGGCTATAGAATCAGTCGGATTTACTTTGTACCTAGAATAAATAATTAAGGGCAAGTTCTACATTTCTCAGAAACATAAAAGGGAATCCAAATACCAAAAGTTTGGGAAACAGTGAAATTTAAAAAAGCTTATTTCCTGCATGATTTCATAGTATTTTAATATGACTAACCATACTCTTCTTCCTGACTTTCCTCAAAGGCCATAAGCACAGTTTGAAAAAAACCTGGTGTGAGTAGAATGGTTAATGAGACAGCAAAATAAACCAAAAGACCCTACAAAATAATGATATTGATTTAAGGTTAATTAAATAAATGACAGCCAGAAATTTTTTGGCTTTTAACTTCAAATATATAAGGCATAGCTAATTGATTAGGTTTATGTAATTAAATCTAATAGCCAACAGCATTTTCTGTAATTTGTGTAACATTAAGCTCACTTATGTAAAAACCTAAAATATTCTAAATACATGTATAGCAGAGGCACACAAAGTCAGGAAAGATTCACTTCCGAGAAAGTGCTTAAGGTGTATGTAATATTTTCTAATTAAGGTAACATGAACACTTATTTTTGAAATGGAAAATTTACATAGGTTTGAAGTTTGTCTTGAACAGGGACATTTTTAATAATAAGAATTTTGTTAATATTGAAAGTATAACTATGAAATATGAACAAACTAATGGTTTTAACATTTTAATTCTGCTTTGCGTGTGTCTGGCCTAAAAACCAAGTGTTAATAAAAGAGTTATTTAGGAAGATAAATCTTGGACCAATCTATAGCTTAATGATTAAGGGAGCCAGATGCCACATGGCTGCCTGTGGTTTGAGTCTCAGTTCTGATAGACTAAAAAACATTCTGAGAATGTGTGCGTGTGCCCACACTTCCAACAGGACAGAGAAATAGAGGAGAAAGGATTGTGGTGTGAATACAATAGCATCGTCACCTTTGGAGGTAGGGAGGGTGTTTTGTCCCTCTGTCTTTGACCTTCTGGCAATTATTTAAAAGAAAAAATTAGATAGGCAAATTTTGATTAGTCCAGGATTACAGTTTAATTTTTATGTAGGATATTTAACTCTCCAACACCACCTAACAGTCTAATAGGTTATCCAAAAATATGTGAACTTGGAGAAAAGAGTGTGGATGGTTGATTACAAACTCCATTCTCACCTTTCAAAACTACCCTACTAAAAAACATGCTCTACTAATATTGGTGGGATGGTATTATCATCTTACTTTAATATAAGGCATTGTCCCACAGGGGTTCTTGGTTAAGATTTTCTCTTCCTGTTAAAACAGGTATTTTCAAATTAAAACTATAAAAATTAAAATTAATATAAATTCTGCTGCATGTTAAATATTTATAAAAAGACTGTGGCATACATTTGCAAAAGATGTATATAGAATGCAGTTAATAAGTGAATAGGAATTTGACAGAAACGCTAGTGTCTTAAAATTTTTACAATTTTTCCTCTACAGTTTAAGAACATCTTAATTTCAATGTGCAGTCCAGTTAAACTACAAATTATATATCCTTTTATATTACCTAGTATGTAGTTGTTTTTGTGGGTTTTTTTGTCTCTGGTAAAATGTAGTATTAATATTTTGTAATGATATAACAAAACAAAATGTTTAACCTGATGTGGATATTATCATCTAGGGGCTTTTTAGTTAGTACCATGATCTTGTCATCTGATTACTTATTTTAGTATAAATGCTTTATAAAGTATTGGGTCATTGGCAAAGTCATGATATATTCTTTCACGTTGTCCTATGCAAAAATAATGTCATGACTTTTCCAACCCAACAGTTGTATAATATTTTTCAGTCATGTATTTAATTGCATTTTTTTACTTGCTATGAAATAAAAATTTCAACCTATGTGGTCTTATGGATTCACTGTTAACACTTTTGTAACAATTTCTGTTATTTAGAATGTAAAAAATGTGGGTAATTCATTCAGTAAATACTTATTATGCATCTGGTATGTTTCAGACACTGAGAAAAACTGTTGTAGACAAAAACTTGATTGTGCACTGCAGAAAATGTGTGACCTTTTAAAAATAGTTTTGTATGAAATCAGATGTATGTCATCTGTCTACATATTTTTGTTTTTCATTATACAAATCCCAGAGTCCCAGTTATCAGTGAAATCACTTTCTGATTTCTGAGAGCCTCCTCTATTTCCCATTTTTTTTCAAAGTAATTTTTGATCCTGGGACTCTAGTTATTGAACCATTTCTCTGTCATTTTAGACTTTTGTGATGATCTACTTCCTTTTTTTGTTTGTTTGGTTTAGAGCACATGTTCTTGCTAGAGAGAGAGAAAAAGAGAAAGAGAAAGAGATAGATTACCCCTTAGAGGGATGGCCACGCTGCAATACCTTCTTCATTTTCCTCATGGGATTTTGGGCATACATGCTCATAAGCCCTGCATGTTTTTCAAGGCCCTGGGTCCAGGACTTGAACCATATAGTTGCCCATGTGCGATGCAGCCACCTTAACCACCAGGCCATTGGCTGGTCCCAGGTTGTCTACTGCTATTGGTCCTAATTTCTCTTTCTAAATTCCAACTATAATCCCACCACAAACTAACTTCTCTTCAAAGTCTTTATTTAGATTATTTTTAATTTATCAAAAGTTTTTTTTTTTAACCTTTCTATGTTTATTCCAGGTTGACTTTTTTTTTTCTTTTTTTTAAGTTTCCTTATTTCTTTCATAAGAGAGAGAGAGAGACAGGTACCCCCAACCAGGTCCTCATCTCAGCTCACCTGAACCCTGAGCACCTTCATTCCTTGCATGATTAGAGAATTCGCAGGATGTAAACCCAGGTCCTTTCTTTTGTGGGCCCAGGTGTGTTACCGTTGTGCTACTGCCTGGCTGCACAAATTCATGCTTTTGATTAGTCTTTTAGAATCTTACAGGATACCGCCCTTTCCCAGAAAATAAAAATCTTTTCATTTTTTCTTTTATTTTTTATTATTTGGAAGAGCTCACCAATTAGTCTCATTTCTACCAAGATACATACTTGTGGATGGTCCCTAATGATCCTAAGAATCCAAAATGCACTGAGCATTCACTAAATCTAAAATATGTTCAGCTTCTGGGCTGATCCTATAACCTAGTGGTTAAGAGAGCCAGATTCCATATGGTTAACCATGCAGTTTTAATTCTAGCCCCCACTGGTCTGGAAAAACATCCCAGACATGTGTTCCCCAAATCCTGATGGGCTGGGGAAAAGGAGGTAAAAGGACTGCAGCATGACCATGCTCCCCTGGGGGTCTTTTCTCCCTCCCCTCACACTCTCTGTCTCTGGTGAGTGCATACACCCTCTGGCAATTAAAAAAAAATAAAACAGATATGCTTCTATATATTAGGTCATTGGGAGAGTCATGACATTTTTTGTTTTTAAATTCATTACATTTCTTTTTTTTTGAGAGAGAGAGAGAGACTTTGCTATAGGGCGCATGTGTTCACCAGAGAGAGAGAAAGTGAGAAATCACTCCTCAGAGGGGATAGCCATGCTGCAATCCCTTCTCCACTGTCCTCTTGATTTTGGGGGCATACACACACACACACACACACACACACACACAAACACACAGTCGACTATGTGGGAGTCCAGTGTTAAAACCATTGTACCATCTGCTGGTCTCTATCGTTATTAATCTTCAATTTGACCAGGGAGAGATGGGGGGGCGGGGAGGGGGTGGAAGCCAACCACCCAGGTCTGGGACTTGAACCACAATTGGGCATGTGTGAGTCCTTTTGGCCCCTTTCTATGTTTTTCTATACAAAATGCATGACTTTTCCCAACAATCCCTAGTTCATACTCTCTCACATGTCTTATACATACTAAAAATGAACTCAAGCTTAATAGAGTACATAACATTTAAAAAATACAAAGTAATTAACTTAGTACTTCTTTAATTTGTCAAAATAGTCACATTCTTATAAATGAAATTATTTCATCACAGTGTATTCACTGATTGTGGCTCTTGCGATCTTGTGGCATCCAGGAACCTGGCTGAAACGTTTTACCAGTGCTGGTGGGAGCCACTGAGGGTTCTTCCTTTCCGAAGTATGGAGCAGAGGCATGCCCTCTAATCTGAGTTTGAACTGGTGGAGCCAAAAGTTCCTCATTGGTCTCTTTACTGATGAGTTTTTCTTTTTCATAAAGATCTTCGCTTTTTATTTTTATTTCTTCTCTATAGTTTTCATTCGCTAATACTTCCTGCATGTATATAAGTGGAAGAAATTATTAAACTTCTAGTTAAAAACCCAAAATACGTGTTTTATAAAAATAAAAGAGCCAACAAGAAATAAAATATGTCATATACATGATACTTGCTTTGCATTTAAATAATATATAGATTATATGTAAGATAAGTTTGAAAAAGTTGATTAAATACCAGTGTTATATGAATGATACAGTTCTGTCTTCATTTTAGGTTGTAACAGAAAGATCTCAGGATTGTAAAATACAATAATTTATTACCCAAAAAGCAAAAAAAAGTTAACATGAAATATTACACAAGAACAAAGTTAAAAAAAAGGAAAAAAGTATTATACTTTTTTATTACTTAATACTTATTTCTGCCTTAAGATTCATCATCAGTGGCAGTACAACTGGAGAGGAAGAGATGTACTATTTCTTAGTGTACATGTAATAATTTGTTTCATTGCAGAATTAAAGTATGAAGTTAGCCCCACTCCCTGAAGTGCCAGAGCCGCTATTTCCCGATATCTGTTTCCCTTTCTCCTTTAAAGTGGTAAAGCAGGAAAGAGGAAGACCAGGAAGAGAGTAAGAGTTCAGCACACCCTGGACAGCAGTTCCAGAGAGGCACTTTGTGATTAGAAATACTTCCTCAAATCAGTGCAAACAATTAGTGCAATGCAGTTCTGTTCCTCAGATTTCTTAGCCTATCCAGAAGAACCTATGCCAAAAATTATGACTCTATTTTATTACTGTATTTCATTGAACACAAGACTATCACATTTAAGAGGCATCACTATTACATGTACATTAAAAAAGAAAGGCAATTAAAAATCATACCCTATTTCAGGGGTGTTAAAATCTGCAAAGATGCCCATTTTTTTTAAAACCTTTTTCTTTTCCTTTTCTTCCTTTTTCTTTTTAGAGATTTTTGCTATAGGGTGCACCCTCATGTCAAGGGATAGAGAGACAGGAAGTGAGAAATCATTCCCTAGGGTGATGGCCACACTGCAGTCCCTTCTCCATTCTCTTCTCAGGATTTTGGGCACACACACACACACATGCCCTGTGTGAGTTTTAATCTGCTGGGTCTGGGACTCAAACTGCAGGCAACTATGTGGGATTCCAGCAACATAGCCATTATGCCATCTGCTGGTCCCTGTTTTCTTCTTTTTTTTAAAAAAGATTTTTGCCATAGGGTGCACGTGTTCACTAGAGACAAAGAGAGGGAACGTGAGAAATCACCCCCCATCTCCCAGGGGGATGGCTACACTGCAATACTTTCTCCATTCTCTTGAAATTTGGGGCATGCACACACAAGCACCTGATGTGATTTTCAAGCCCCAGGTCTGGGACTCAAACTCTTTTTGCTTATCTATTATTTTCTGATTTGTCTTTAAGAATACTTATTCCAGTTTGTAATAATGAAAAAATTAAAATGTTAACATAATGTAAGTAATATCTGACTACTGACAAAAATAAATTCTCCCAAGTTATTTTTAAATTTCAACAGTTTTAAACAAAAGATAAAGGACAATATCGCCTCTTAATGTATGATGCAATCTTTCAAGTAGCATAGTCCTTTGAAAAGGTAAGCACTGATATTTAACGTAATGGCTTATACTTACAGAAGAAAAAGTGTATGTTTGGTTATAGTATTACAGATTCTTAGTTTTAGAGGTGAAGAAGGGCCCAGATAATCAAACTTCTCCCTCCACACACACACACACACACACACAAACACACAGTCGACTATGTGGGAGTCCAGTGTTAAAACCATTGTACCATCTGCTGGTCTCTATCGTTATTAATCTTCAATTTGACCAGGGAGAGATGGGGGGGCGGGGAGGGGGTGGAAGCCAACCACCCAGGTCTGGGACTTGAACCACAATTGGGCATGTGTGAGTCCTTTTGGCCCCTTTCTATGTTTTTCTATACAAAATGCATGACTTTTCCCAACAATCCCTAGTTCATACTCTCTCACATGTCTTATACATACTAAAAATGAACTCAAGCTTAATAGAGTACATAACATTTAAAAAATACAAAGTAATTAACTTAGTACTTCTTTAATTTGTCAAAATAGTCACATTCTTATAAATGAAATTATTTCATCACAGTGTATTCACTGATTGTGGCTCTTGCGATCTTGTGGCATCCAGGAACCTGGCTGAAACGTTTTACCAGTGCTGGTGGGAGCCACTGAGGGTTCTTCCTTTCCGAAGTATGGAGCAGAGGCATGCCCTCTAATCTGAGTTTGAACTGGTGGAGCCAAAAGTTCCTCATTGGTCTCTTTACTGATGAGTTTTTCTTTTTCATAAAGATCTTCGCTTTTTATTTTTATTTCTTCTCTATAGTTTTCATTCGCTAATACTTCCTGCATGTATATAAGTGGAAGAAATTATTAAACTTCTAGTTAAAAACCCAAAATACGTGTTTTATAAAAATAAAAGAGCCAACAAGAAATAAAATATGTCATATACATGATACTTGCTTTGCATTTAAATAATATATAGATTATATGTAAGATAAGTTTGAAAAAGTTGATTAAATACCAGTGTTATATGAATGATACAGTTCTGTCTTCATTTTAGGTTGTAACAGAAAGATCTCAGGATTGTAAAATACAATAATTTATTACCCAAAAAGCAAAAAAAAAGTTAACATGAAATATTACACAAGAACAAAGTTAAAAAAAAGGAAAAAAGTATTATACTTTTTTATTACTTAATACTTATTTCTGCCTTAAGATTCATCATCAGTGGCAGTACAACTGGAGAGGAAGAGATGTACTATTTCTTAGTGTACATGTAATAATTTGTTTCATTGCAGAATTAAAGTATGAAGTTAGCCCCACTCCCTGAAGTGCCAGAGCCGCTATTTCCCGATATCTGTTTCCCTTTCTCCTTTAAAGTGGTAAAGCAGGAAAGAGGAAGACCAGGAAGAGAGTAAGAGTTCAGCACACCCTGGACAGCAGTTCCAGAGAGGCACTTTGTGATTAGAAATACTTCCTCAAATCAGTGCAAACAATTAGTGCAATGCAGTTCTGTTCCTCAGATTTCTTAGCCTATCCAGAAGAACCTATGCCAAAAATTATGACTCTATTTTATTACTGTATTTCATTGAACACAAGACTATCACATTTAAGAGGCATCACTATTACATGTACATTAAAAAAGAAAGGCAATTAAAAATCATACCCTATTTCAGGGGTGTTAAAATCTGCAAAGATGCCCATTTTTTTTAAAACCTTTTTCTTTTCCTTTTCTTCCTTTTTCTTTTTAGAGATTTTTGCTATAGGGTGCACCCTCATGTCAAGGGATAGAGAGACAGGAAGTGAGAAATCATTCCCTAGGGTGATGGCCACACTGCAGTCCCTTCTCCATTCTCTTCTCAGGATTTTGGGCACACACACACACACATGCCCTGTGTGAGTTTTAATCTGCTGGGTCTGGGACTCAAACTGCAGGCAACTATGTGGGATTCCAGCAACATAGCCATTATGCCATCTGCTGGTCCCTGTTTTCTTCTTTTTTTTAAAAAAGATTTTTGCCATAGGGTGCACGTGTTCACTAGAGACAAAGAGAGGGAACGTGAGAAATCACCCCCCATCTCCCAGGGGGATGGCTACACTGCAATACTTTCTCCATTCTCTTGAAATTTGGGGCATGCACACACAAGCACCTGATGTGATTTTCAAGCCCCAGGTCTGGGACTCAAACTCTTTTTGCTTATCTATTATTTTCTGATTTGTATTTAAGAATACTTATTCCAGTTTGTAATAATGAAAAAATTAAAATGTTAACATAATGTAACTAATATCTGACTACTGACAAAAATAAATTCTCCCAAGTTATTTTTAAATTTCAACAGTTTTAAACAAAAGATAAAGGACAATATCGCCTCTTAATGTATGATGCAATCTTTCAAGTAGCATAGTCCTTTGAAAAGGTAAGCACTGATATTTAACGTAATGGCTTATACTTACAGAAGAAAAAGTGTATGTTTGGTTATAGTATTACAGATTCTTAGTTTTAGAGGTGAAGAAGGGCCCAGATAATCAAACTTCTCCCTCAAAGCAAATATATGAGGAAAGAACAATGTTTATAGATATTCTGGTAATATTCACAACACAAAGCAATTCTCTGTGAGTAATTTACTTTAGTAGCCATGGTAACTAGGAGTTTAGGTACAGTTGCAACAAGTGAGGATGAGAGTAATCAGGCTTCCTCTTTCGCACATTCTTTAGAATTCTGTGGGGTGTTCCATCACACATCACGAAAGACATTCCTCAATCATGTTGGAAATCATCAGGTATTTCCAGACAAAATTCCATAAGCCTATACTCTTCAGGTTCCTGAGGCTTCAAGGAAGCTCATTCTTTGGAGCAGAATGAAAGGTTCAGGGTCAGGTTAAACTTGCACTAGTAACCAGAAATTGCTATGGATCTTGCTTGGTTTGGTGTAATAGGATCAGTTACATAACCCGGATCTGCACAATCATACTTTATTCACCTCTGCTGTTGTATCCTACAGGCTGGTATGTGCATATACCTTCTCAATAAAAGGAAGGGGGCGAGGAAATAGCCATTGATCTTTTCTTTTCTCCTGCCTTCACATAATTTCTTTTTATTCAATATTACTCTTCCAAGTTAGTTTCTGAATTTCTTATAACAGCTATGGACAAATGAAAAGCCAATCTGAATATGTTAATTATTTTTACATAAGACAGATTAAAGATTTCAGAGTTGAAAAACATGGGGACTACTTAGAAAAGAATTTCCCTTAAAAAAAAATTATTACCAGGCAGACCCTTGCTAACAGCTTCCAGGAAAATTAAACAGAGCATAAATCATTTATAAAAGGAGATCTAGTTTTGTAAATATTTGGAATTGACAAAATGAAAATAGTTAGATGGAGAACGTAAGAACTGCAGACTCCAAAGACAAACAGAAATGATCTCTTCAGTCTATTTTAGAGTAGAAACTATATAAAATATTTTCCCAGTTTCCTTAGAACAGTATCAACTTAAGACTCAATATGTTCATCAATTTATAGTATGCTTCAATGCTTGTGCAGAGATCAACCAAGAATAAGGGGATCTTTCTTAACATAAATGTTTGTATTTTTAAAATGAATATTTTTCATATTACTGACTGCTTTTATTCATGTTGATAAATATTTTTCTTTGACATTTTAAAAAAAGATGGCTGTTTTTTATTTTGTCACTTGTATTGTACCATGATTTACTTAACAACTATCCCTACTGTTGTTTTACTTCACTTCTCTATTAAAAAAAACCACTGTGATGACCATTCATGTACATAACTTTTGGCTTAGCAGGGCTCCAATTCCAAATTTATCTACTGCTAGCTGTGTGACACCAAGAAAGCCATTTAACCTTTTTCAATCTAAATTTCTTTATCTGAAAATAGAGATACTGTTAACTCTTAACAAAACTGTTTCCTAAGATACCTGACTATATGCCAAATGGAAGTCACTTCCTTCTTTTTGTTTCCCTTAAGCAATCTCTGAAGTTCTCTTAAAAGTTGACAAGTCTATGCAGATAACAGATGATGCCATAGTCTAATGTCAACCAGATGATACTATTGATTTATAGTAAGTATAAATCTTATTTATATGTGACTGCATATGTATAATACACCTTAAATACGCACACGTATCCTCTTCACATTGTTAGTTGCTCTGAAAGTTTCTCAATATTGATTATGAACATGGGCTCTAAAGCCAGACTACCTTTATATATATCTGTCTTGCCATTTACTAGCTGTGTCACTCTGTGAGTATAAACTCTATGTCTCAGTTTTCTCATATGTAAAATGAAGATAACAACACTGTCTTCCTCGATGGGCTGTTGTAAGGATTGGGAAAACACTGGTGCTAGTACAACAGAAGAAAGTACAGATGGATTTTAAAATAGTGATCATTTACTCCATTCCATTAAAATATAAAAACACTAACTCATATTCATCCCATTTGGAGATGGGTAAGGGTGGTAGTAAGATGTCATCTACTAGTTTTCGGCCAGGATGGAGCATCCAATATCAGGCTAGTCCTTCTGCCATAAACAACTAGAAAAGTGGACAAAAACTTATTAAACTTTCCAGATACTGGATGGTAGGCAGTGCAGTGCTGTGATTCCTGAGAGGAAGGGAAACAAATGAGAAAAGCACTATATCACCATAGCTTTCTGCTTAGAAACATGGGCTGCTGGACAGAATGTGGGAACCCAAGCAGAAGATGGTGGTCTCATGAGGCTAAAGAGAGATGGTTGTTTAGAGAGGCTGAGGAAGCTGGAATATGTTGCAGAGTAGCAGAATATATAGAGCATGAGTTCTAGAAATCTGCACAGGGTCCACTTGAGTGTTCATTTGAGTATTAAGCTGTACATGTACAGGATGAGGTTCCAAGAAGCCAAGAAAGGCAATTTCTGGATAAAGAATACTGGGAAGAGGAGCTGGCAGGTAGCATGGTAGATAGGGGTGCTGGACTCCCACCCACATGGCCAACCACGGTTCAAGTCTCGGACCTGGTGGCTTGCTTTCTGACTTCCTCTCTCTCTGTCTCTCTCTGATCAAACTGGAAAATAATAATGATAATAATAATAAATAAAGTTAAATAAAATAATTCTTTAAAAAAAAAAAAAAGAATACCAGGAAGCTATTAAGAAAACTGAGCAACTGCTGGAGCTTGTACTGGACTAGGAGACTTTCAGGTTCTAATGAATGTCAGCCAGAGATATCTCATCAAACACCTGAGGCATTTAATATGAAGATCTCAGAAAGGTCACTTCTTAGCAGTAGGGCTAACCTGAAATGAGCGTAGTGTTTACTGTGGACCTGTGCTGTCTAAGACAGAGCCATTAGCCACATGTTATTTAAATTTCAATTAGTAAAATAAAAAATCAGTTCCTCAATTTCTCTGGCTACATTTTAAGAATTTAATGTGATTAGTGACTACCATATCAGAATGTGCAGATATAAAATATCCCTACTATTGAAGAAACTCCTAATAGCCTGCATTGTTCTATAAATTACCCTAATAAAACTTAAAAATAGGTTTCTGGAAGTTGGAACTAATTCACATATAAATTAAAAGGCCTCCAGAACAAAACTGAATATTTTCTGAAGAAAAATAATAAAAGCCAAGCATCAAACAACATAATGATTGGGACCAGCAGTTAGCATAATGGCTATGTCGCTGAACTCCCATGTAACTGACCGTGGTTGAAGTCCCAGGCCCGGGGGCTTAAACTCACACTGGGCATGTGTGTGTGCATGCCCAAGATCCTGAGAGGAGAATGGAGGAGAAGGGATTGCGGTGTGGCCATCCCCCCTGGGGGGGTGATTTCTCACTT